TAATTAGTATCGTGTTAAATATATAGCTAGCATAAATAGGTACGTGTCTTTAATATACTGACATTTTTTGAGTTCGTGTGGTATTTACATCGGAGGCTACCGATGTGAGTGCAGGCACACTATAATATTTTGATATAATTTACAGTTTGTAAAAGTTTCTGGCACATTCAGAAAGAAAATACAATTTCTAAGCTAAATCTTATCCGCTGAATTCACTTTTTCAGTATCGTTTTTCATTTACAATGATTCACTAAAACTAATATTATAAATATGTATAATAAATTATAGTAAAAAATCTGCCACCACTATGTATTAAATCAAATTAAGTGAATTTAGTGTGAATCTTTATTATTCTTGACTTTTTATATTATAATCATAAATCGTTCGAGTTATGGTTGAAATTATGGTGGTAAGTAAATAGCGACAATATTTCAGCAAGATTAGTTAAGTTGTACTACGTCAACTACAACACACTCGTAGGTATAGTCGTTTCATCGGTGTATCTTGGTTTAGTCTATTTTAATTTATGGAAAAATTGGCATTGGTGTTATTCATTTTGTGAACTAACTCAACTGAGATGTGCGTTTCATACTTTTGTATTATATATATAGAACTCGGTATGTTTTCGAACAAGGTCTATACTTTATACACTTACTTGATATATCTGTCGTTGAGTATTTTTTTGTGTCTATACTCGTATAAGCTAAAAATATAATAAGGAGTACGGTCGTTGTCTTTTAAAATATACATAGATTATAGAAAAGTCTCTTTTCTATTATATTAGCTTATTTCGGGTTTTCGGGTTACCATTGGTTACGTAATATCTATTTTATTTCTTGTAACCAATGGAAAATATCTACACATATTTAAACAAAAAAATTATTCAATTTCCGTGGTCCAAAATGCAATTCATGTGTGAGTCATAACATGGAAACCTATATGAATTGAAAAACCAAGCTTTGAATACTCTAAAGGATATGTATATGTATGCAAAATGTAATGCCAATTGATTTGGTTTCAGCTAGTAGTTTCTAAGCCCTATACAAACGTAGAATAATTTTTAGGTTTCTAAATATGAGTAGAACTCTTTATAATTCCTTTGTTTCCGTTCATTAGTAATCAGTTACGGCAGTAACTAATACAAATATACATAAATAGTCTGCATGATCGTTTATGCATTCAGTTTATAATGATTCTATTCAAAGTAAACCCATAATTTTCATCAAGTAATAAGAATGTATAAAATGTGACAATTTTTTTATAAATTTTAATATTATGGAATCAAAGTTCGTTTTTTTTTGTATTAAAATACGTTTAGAATCCGGGAATTCAGCACGCTTTCAGAGAGAACTTATCTAACCTGTTATATATATATATATAACACAATGTATATTATACATATAGAATATAATATGTCTATATGTAGTCTCGTCGTCTATGTATATATAGCGACACGTCGGGGTCAAAAGGTGTTCGCCGGCGGCGGCAGCGTTTTTAGCGGACGAATAAGCGTACTTATACCGTACACATAATGTACACGGCTGCATAGTCACATTGCCACGCCGCCAACCCGATCGATGTGATATATATATATATATATATATATATATATATTATATTTATAATATATGTATACTTATGTGCGTACTGTGTATACATACGCGTGGTACAGGATGTCCAAAGTGACGTTCGTATACGTAACCCCTATACCCACTCACGAGTATTTATTATTATGCACCATATTTTTCGCCATCGAATTTATTACATCGGAATGAATAATAATATGTATACTGTAACAACGCGAATTCGGCCGGTCACGCGTTTGTTTCGTTTATATCGCACGCGATCGCTTTTCGAATTTCTTTCGCGTAGTAAGACGGGAATCGATAGACAGTCATCGATTCACTACGGATAAGGGGGTCACTGATGATTTGACTAGAGAAATAAAATTAATATAGGACAAAAACATAGTCAACTCGGACGATGAAAAGTCCACACGAATGATACCATTATGATAGGTATATAATATTATGTATGTCTGGCACTTAAAAACTGTTTTCAAACCGTAACAACTGCACTGCAGCTGCGGGCGGCCTGATGCACTCTGTATGCGCGTGCCTATACGTACATATAATAATTTGTAGTTTTCTGGCGCACGTATAACAATAATAACGATAATAATAATGACAAGAGAAACAGCCGACGATCGTGGTGTATTGCATAATATTATAATATTATGTTTATGTTTATGTGTATAATAAAGACGTACCGTGGTCGAAGTCGTGCGTATAAAATTTTATTTACGACGCGCGCGCCGGCCCGGCAGAGCGCGTTAGCGGCGTAAATACGATCAGCTGCCGCCCCCGCCGCCCGCCAAAGTCAGTCGGCTGGTTCGCGCGCGGATTCCGCTTCCGCCGACGACTACAGGCGGCACGCACTCGCTACTACTACTGCCGATACTACGCGCGACTACTACTACTACTACTACTACTACAACTACTACTACTACTACAACTACTACTACTACAATAACTACTACTAACGCTCAAGTGTAACGGCCATGAGTATACAGAGTGATCCACTTTAACGACTATAGATACATCAGTTTTTCACGTCTTATATTATATTACCACAGTCGTTACTAGCGGATGTGCAGTGAATTCGATATGCGGAAAAACCACGAGGGAAGAATTCCAAATCACGCGAAACTAAGATAAAAATTAATTTAGTGTAACGGAATCACAATTTACGGTTTTATGTAAACCGGCGATGTACCTACTGAAGAAATTTTGAGCGTATTTTCGGTGTTTCAGCATAGGTTCACTTTGAATAACACGCCATACTGGCAATGGGTGGAAATAAATGTGATATTTCCAACCAACGTGTATTGGTGAAGGCGTGAAGCTTTGTTTATAAATTCAAATGTGATAAATTTTTTAATTTAAGCCTGCAGGTTTTTGATCCAGATAACAGATAATACTGATTAAATTAAAAGTTGAAGAGATAATATAATATTTATTTTTTTTCAAAAATGCAATCAATAGAAATATTTTTATTTGTATTGTTCAGATTGAAGAAATTAAATGAAAACTAAAAAAAAATTGACTCTGTACATTTTGCCACATTTATACTTTTAATATAAGAAATCGATTGTAAAAAGTCAGAAGTATCTACATTATATTATCTGAATTTGGAAAAATTGATTAAATTTGAAAATTGTAAAAATCAGTTGCTAGTCATATGCGAAACATAAGATATTTTGTATTTAGCATATTAATGTCTTAAATTAAATGATGAAATATACACTTCACTTATTTTGAATTCAATTTGCAAAGTCGTTAATTTTATCACACAATCGAATAATCTAAATTTTAACACAGAAAATATGTTTTATCATTTTGCGAGGTTGCTTATTATATTTTTTCGTAATTATAGAGGTAGAATATTTACTTTTCTAAAAATATTGATATTTAAATAATAATATAATACAGAATAATATAGTTAAATGAATATATATATATTTTTTTTAATCAAAATAATCGTTATAACTACGTAACTACGTTCGAAATAAATCATGAAACATGTATCCCACATAAGTCGAAGTTCGCTATAATAAATAATAATACACAGTTCAATATTTAAGTAGGTACATGAAAATTTTTTTATGAGAATATTTTACTACTGGCTATAATAAACGTGGTTACCTAATCATGAAACTGTTTTGTTAAAGTGAGTAGATATATGGTATAGTTTTTTGAATATTTAAAAGTAAAATAATATATGTAACAAAATAATAAATTATTATAAATATAGCAAGTATCTATGACAATAACAGTTTTTAAAATCACTAAAAAAGTGTGGCTGTTTAATAGATCATACCGTGTGATAAATTATTTAAAAGGAGATTAATAAGCATATTCATCTACAGTTTCTTTTAAAAATTAGTTTCATGCTTTTAAATGTTGAGGATTTTTTGTTCTACTGAAAGAGTATCAGGTATACATACAAATTTATGTTTTCTAAATAATAACTCCTCTATCTTTATACTAAATAAATTATTTAGCAGATAATTTTTATGAAAATGTCGATAAATCAATATCAAAAATCAAAGAAGCAGTTTTTGAGTTATTCATCTTCGAGTAATAAAAATAATCAATCATACATCGACGATAAAGGCTTTGAAGGATGTAGGGACAATGGAAATTTTAAAATTGTATTATTATTATTATTATTATATTTACCTATTAACATTTATAACATTTTGTAAAAATACTAATACATTTAATACATTCTAAATTCAATATGTAACATAAACTATCGGGTTAATTATAATTATATACTCGTTTGAATTAGATAAATCAACATTTGTAAAACAAAAAAGAGTCTACATAGTTTATGCTAAACAAATTAGGGTTATCACTCGAAAGGAAAGAAAGTAAGTTGTATCGTCGCCTCTCAGGACACTCATTTATAGACGTAATAAAAAAGAATCTCGAGAATTTGAAAATATGCTGTCTTTAAGACGTATATTTTTTTTAATAAATTCCGAAAACAAGAATTTAAAATAACTGCATTATACTAAAAAAAAAAAAAAAAAATAATCGGGGTGAGCACGCATGGCGAATCACTCTATACGTCGCACGCCGCCACGCGTCGTACAAAAATAATAATAATAATAATAATACGGGAAACAGCGCACTGTGCCCGCAGACAGCTGGGGGCCGTTTCGCCGCGCGCACGCACACCGCACCGGTCGCGAGTCGCCGTCGCACCGTTACCGCGTTACTTCCCGTTTCGTCTTTCCCGTCGCCGCCGCGCTGGTCTTCCGTGGTGTCCGAAACTCGTAGTCGTCATCTGTCATTGTCACGCCGTCACCGGCACGACCGTCCAGTTGCCACTTGTTGACGACCGCCGTGAGACTCGTCACCGATGAGCAGCGGTTTTTTTTCTCCGCCGTTTTCCCCCCCACCCAAAAGGTTGGTGGGTTCCCTCCCCCCCCCCTGGAGGGCAGTTCGCGATAGTAAAAAAATTTTTTTTTTTTTTTTTTAATAATTTCGCGGTACGATGAAACTCGCAAGTTTTTCACCGTTCATTGGGCACGATATTATTTTTTAATAATATTATATGCATACTAGCTCTGTTTCGCACTCACGTCGTCGACTTGCCGGGCAGCGGGGTCGACTACTGTGGATGGATGAGAGCGTGTCGTTAAAATATTATACAACACCGACTGCGTTAAATATATTTTAATACATAACCACACACGCATACACGCACTCGAATGGAGTTTCCGAGGTACGTCTAAATTACCAGCCATGTATACCGCGGTAACGTGTCATTAGTTTTTTACAGATGCATGGCGATAGTAATAGACTGGCTATGAGTAGAATGCCGTGATATAGATTAAAAAAAAAAAAAAAACCCCGGCATGCCATGTAGTTATCATATTTTAATATGCTGAATGATTTGTTGACTTGAAAAATGCAAAATATTATGTCATAGTTTTTAAAAATATATGGCATGTATGGACTGTGGACCGTATGGATTTGTCTATGACCGATGTTAACAATGAACACACGCTGGACAATATTAAGTTGTTTTATTGCACTGAAAATATAACATAATATTTTTAATAAGTAAATAAGTAAATAGTTTTTCGATGGCTTGTTGCGAGGGCATGTGGTTGTGATTGTTGTGAATAGTTAAAATCACCAATATTATCTTATCGCTTGAAATTAAACAGACATATATATCAAGGTTTACATTTGAAAAAAAATGTTATACGTTATTTACAATTAAACATAATAAAAATTTTGCGTTTATCGTTATTCAGAATTAAATTTTTTATAAATTTTATAAATTATAACTATTAAATGATTGGAAATTAATTATTTCGTTTAGTGATATACCATAATGCGCCTATTATATTCGTTATGTTTTTTTTGATGATATATCATAGATTTTGTTAATCGTTATGTTTTGTTTTGTGTTATTTAATAATTTATGTTTATTTTTTTTCCGTTATAATTACGTTTACAAGTCCTAATATATATATATATATATATATATATATATATATATATATACACACTACACACATACATATACACGGTATACACGGTGTTACATAAAACCAAATGATTTTGTGTTTTAAACATTTCATAATTTGATATACAAAATAAAAATTTAGAAAACCAGTGTAATTACATGCATGTACTATGTGAAATATATGTAATATCAGATCTAGAGTTTAATCATAATTGGACGATTTATAATCAGATTATTGGTAAATGAAATATAGCCTAAATATCAAAATATTAGGCATAAAATATAACTATGAATATTTAATATAATAATAGGCAACGATCGGTACGGTACCTTATTAATTTTGTATTCTTGGCTACATTTGTTCCTACACAGCTATATTTTATTTATGGCCATACATTTTTTATCGGTTAACAAATGATTTATATAGAATATACACATTTGGTTTGTTAGTTGCCACTTTGTAATATAAAATAAAATAATAAATTCATAATTCGTTTCGTATTTGTTTTTCTGAACGCAGTAGTGAATTAATGTTCGATATTATACAGTATTTGCACTATATTTTACAAGCAATGTGAAATTTATGTTTTTAATTGATTTTTAGAAAAAAAAAAACCAATATTGTGCTCTAGTTATAAAAATAAAAATATATTTTTGAATCAGTAAATGTCTTTATAATTAAAAATAAGAGTTTCATCAACAAAACAATACATATATTAGTATTTAATCATATTGTTTTTTGAAAAAATTCTATTTATCTACTGCAATTATGTAACATTAAGTAATATATGTAACATAATATTGTATATATTAAAAAATAATGTATACTATAAAATATATATCATTTTTTTTGTTATAATTTTATATCTTGAGTCACAATGAAATTTAAAATATCTTAATAATATTTTCTTATATGCAACGAATTAATCAAATATTATTAGTTTTTATTTTGTAATCGTATGCAAAAAAAAAAAATCCATTACGATTTTGTATAATTTAACTAAAAATAATTATATGGGATAGGTAAATGAGCTTAACACACATACAGCAATGTACACTGTTTATAGGGTTAACATACTAATTTTTTTTAGAAAGAATTATGAGTTATTTTTACAATAAACCATCATAATAATCAATAATATTTAATTTTTAAATATAACAACTGATAACATTTTTAATCGATTTAAGAATTTTTGAAAATTTATTGTTTTAAATGTTAATGTTTCACTAAAAAAATATGATATATATTAGTAAAACATTGTTTTACTATTTTATTGTCTTAATCAAATTACTTTTTACTCACTCTGAGAAAATTTTGATAAATTTCTAACCTTATAAAATATATAATATTAAACTTAAATAAATTATATGTTTTATACAGTAATATTAACGAATTTCAGAAAATTAATCTAGGTTGTTTAATTATGTGTTGTTTTGCAATGCAATTTAATTCAATCACACTTTAATATAAACCAATTTAAAACTTGAAATTTCAATCAAAATAATCAATACTTGACTTTGTACATACCAATCACGTATTTGTCAGAAATCGTATTTAATAAAATACAATTAAAATAAGTCAAAAGCTAGAATAGCTTAAATTCGAAAATTACTTAATAGGCAAATTATGTTTTAGTGAAGTCACTGACAAATTAATCTACTGCATTTCAAAATCTTAGACATTTACTACGAAATTGGATTAATTTAATTTATGCATAAAGTATCTAAATTTTAGTTTTTTTTTTTCGAAATATTTACTAGTTATAGGGATCATAAGGTTCAAAGTTTAAAAAGTAGCTTTTAGGTAATTCGCGTATTGTTTAGAAAAAAAAAATAATATTTTTTTTTGTTTTATAAATTGATCGTATAATTCGATGATTGCATTCTTCATTTTGTCGTATTTGCAATAAATTGAAAATACTAAAAAATAGTTGATATTTAATATAACTAATGTTATGTGAAAAATGTATAATAACACTATACAAAATTATATCAAGCAGTAATTATTTATTATAGTAACTTAGTAATATACCAACAAGTTCTTTTTATATAATTTATTAACAGAAATGCACAATCTCAATATAGTTTTCCAAATGAAGTGTACAAACTTTTGTAATTAGATAAATTGTTGGTAATTTTTTAGTGTACGTTTGAAAAGCTTATGTATATTATTATCATTACTATTAAAATTAAATTTTCTCTAAGAAAAAATGAAATTAAGAACCTTTTTCAAACTAATCGAGTTGTGAGAAAAATATTAGAAGGTAATTAAATTTGTTTTAATCATGATAATATTAAATATTTTATTTAACAACTACTATATAATATTGTAAATTAATTTAAAAAAAATAGAATTTATAAAAAATTATTTTAAGTAAAACAATAATTTATTAGATTGTTTAATTTATATTTAAATGTACATACTTTAATGTTTTGTAATCAATGTGAAAAATAAAAGTTTTTCTGATTTCTTTACTACGTTTTATTATATAAATTAGATCGTCTATTTTTATTTTTGTGTTGATAAATAATAAATAATAACCAAAATGACATAGATAAAATTGTATTATATAATATTATTCTTAATTAATTATTTCATAAGTCACATTATTAACTGTGTAAAAAATATACAGGTATATGATTAGTTTGAATTTTGAATAGATTGATGTAATGTCGTAAATTTTAAATGATAAACATTGACTTGCGAGGTAAGGGTCAGTATAATAATCATACAATCTATTAAACAATACTTAAACAAAAATAATCGGTTAATAAGTTTGCATAAACTGTAACTTTAATAAGATATTAGAAATATCTTTATCCCATAATTCATAGTTGATATTATATTTAAAAATCATAAAATATTTACAGTTCACGGGGTTTGAGATTGGTTATAAATTAGTTGTACTATAAATTAAAATCAACGATAATTTCAGTGGTATTCTATCAAATAAATGGACAATTATAAAAAAAAATTGAGGAAAGTGATCTGATGCATAATTTAAGTAATTATTGTACCTAGTGGATTGGATTTATCATTGTAATGGGTAAGTAAGACTTGAATTAAATAATGTACTCATGTTATTGTATTATTGAATATAAACAATAATTCTGAATGAATGCGGTCACCTAACTTTCTAAATATATTTTGGTTACCTATTTATATTAGTCTTATTCTAAATTTCACTAATATTTTAAAAGTATCATTGTGTTTAATTAATTAAATCATAGCTGCGTAATAGAAAAATGTTGTATGTCTCTAAAGGCTACGAATAATATTCGATTTAGAATTTACAACAGAATTTATAATTAAAAATCAATTTTATAAAATATTGGCATTACGTTTATATGCTTATATTTTGTAATTTGTATATTTTTTTTCCTGATTATTAAAAAAAAAAAATTGCCAAGAATATTTTAATTTTGTCTCACTGAAGTAAAAACCAGTTTAAATTTCTTATAAGAAAAAAACTATGTTTAAAATGGAGTTTTATTGCTCAAAATTATGAAGAAAGAAAAAAAAAAACAAAATTGTAAAATCAACACAATTATTGCTATGTTCATAGCCTAAAATATACAATTTAATAAATTTATATTTTACAATTTATAACTTTTCTTTTAGATGTTGACAAATACTTAATAATAATAATAATAATTTTGTTATATCTTATTATATTTAAATTATAGCTACAATATGATTTTACATTAATGAGTTAAATAATATTTAAACTCATACAAAACTGTATACATGAACGTAGCTTAGTGCAAGAATATAGAGGATTTAATATAAGCAAGTTTTCGATAAAAAAAAAAAAAAATATATAAAATTTCGAAAAGAAATGGAAAAAAATATTCTTTGTAATTATTATTATTGTTATTTACTATTGAAGTATTTATACGTTAAATATGAATTGAAAATATTGTCAAATGGAAGTATAAAATGTTTTTATTTGTTCCAAAACTATGATTTTATGAAAAGGTAGTGAAATATCACAAAATAAAAAAATCCAGCTGAATATTGTTATAGTACGAAATTCAAATATTAAACTTAAATTTTTCATATCTAACTAAAATAAGAATTAATCATTCACATTAATTCTCCTACATACTGAAAATGTAGGAACTATATTAAAATGTTGTTGGTCTTTCAATTACTCAAAGTGTTTGATATTTTAGATTCACGTTCACCTCCATCAAGTTTTGAGTTATGATGTTTTTACCTTACTTGCTAATTATATAAGTTAATA